TTGGGATTTGATTGGGATTGAACCTATAAATCAGTTTAGGGAGAAGAAACATCTTAATATTGATTCTATCATTTCATGAACACATTATATCACTCCATTTATTTAGATTTTCTTTAATTTCACTAAGCAGTGTTTTGCAGTATTAAGTGTGCAGGTATTGCACCTCTTTTGTCAAATATCTCCCTAAGTACTTTAATATTTTGATAGTATTGTAAATAGTATTTTTTAAAAATTTCAATCTCCAATTATTCAACACTAGTATGTAGATATACAATTTGGTTTTGTATGTTAATCTTACATCCTGCAACCTTACTAAACTCAGGCATTAATTCTAGTAACATTTTTGTAAATTCTTGAGGATTTACCACATGGAAGATCATTCATCTGCAAATAAGGACAGTTTTATTTCATACTTTCCACATTGTAAATGTTTTTTCTTTCTTTTCTTGTCTTACTGCATTGGCTACAACCTCCAAAGCAATGTTGAATAGAAATGGTATGAATGGGTAGCCTTACCTTATTCCCAATCTAAGGAGGAAATCAATCTTTTACCATTAAGCATTATGATAGCTGTAGGTTTTTCATAGATGTCCTTTATTAGGTTGAGAAAGTTTCCTTCTATTCCTAGTTTGCTACAAGCCTTTATCAGAAATGGATGTTGAATTTTGTCAGATGAATTTTCTGCATCTACTGATATGATCATATGTGGGTAATTTTTAGTCCATTGTTACAATGAATTACAGTGAATGATTTTCAAAATTAAACCAACTTTGCATTCTTGGGATTAATCCACTTGGTCAGGCTATATTGTTCTTTTTACCCATTGTAGAATTCAATTTGCTAAAATTTTTAAAGGATTTTAAAAATCTATATTCATGAGGGGTAATGGTTGGAAGTTTTGCTTTGTAATATATTTTTCTGGGTTTGGTATCAAGATAGTGCTAGCCCCATGAATTGAGAAATGTTTTTTCTCTTTAGTTATCTGGAATATGTTGTATAGCATTCATTAGTGAAGCCATCCAGGACTAGAGTTTTCCTTGCAGAAGGCTTTAAATTATAGATTTCATCTTATTTTTCTAGTTTGATGAAATTTTGGGTCATTGATTTGATACTTTTGGTCTTTCCTTTTTTTTTTAAAGATGATCAGTAAGGGAATCTTAACCCTTGGCTTGGTGTTGTCAGCACCACACCCAGCCAGTGAGTGAGTGGACCATCACTATATAGGATCCGAACCTGTGGCATCAGTGTTATCAGCATCACACTCTCTCGAGTGAGCCATGGGCCAGCCCTTTTGGTCTTTCCTAATATACTTGTTGCTATAAATTTTCCAGTAAGCAATCCTTTAGCTACATTCCTAAAATTGTGATAAATTATGTTTTCATTTTCATTCAGTTAAAAATACTTTCTCCTGACAAATTAGCTATAATTCTAACTAAAATTTTATGTGGGAAACTTTTCTTGCTGGTTGCTTTTAAGAGCTTTTAGTCTCTGGTATTCTAAATTTTGACCATAATACATCTAGGTATAGTTTTTTTTTTTAAAGTGTATCCTGCTTGAGGGATCATGAGTTTAGTGTCTTCTATCAATTCTGGAAAATTATTAACCACATATTGTTTCTCTTTTATTTAACATTAGTTTCTTTAGTTCTTTACCAAATCTGCTTGGTCAATTTTGATAATCTCTTATTCTTTTGTAACATTTTCATTTTGTAAAACATATTAAATATATGTATTTTATATTCTCCATGACTCAAATATTTGCACTCTTTGCAAGTCTGTATGTAGTTTTTTCTTCTGACTTGCTCCCAAGAACGTTTACTATTATAATTACTATTATTATATAGTGATTTTGTGTGTGTGTGCTCATGCTTCTAGTCATGTGGAAATTCTTTATGTTCATGTTGTGTTTACTGATTTTTATTTGTGGGAATTCTTTGAGACCTGGACTAAAAAGCAGTCCTTTCAGAATGTATTTGTACTTATTTTTAATGGGTAACTGTGGGCATTACTAATCCAGGACAATATTAACTTAAACTTTCAGTTTTGGATCCTGGGAACACACATGAGTTTTGGTCCCAAACATGTGAGAGTACAGGCTTGTGGTAATTTCTTGAAAATTTTCTTTTTTTCCTATTTTGCTCAGTGTCAAGACCCAAAGAGGAAAGCAACTTTTCTGTTTACCTCTGCAGGACAGGCTTTTTCTTAGTTTATTCAATGTTGGTTACCTTTGGGAGATCCCAGCTTTATGGGCAATCCTGACCTCTCACCCTGTTTATACCCCCTAGATTTTTCTTCTGTCCTTCCTATATGGTCTTGTACAAATTCCACCTATAGTATTTACTTATTTTTGTGAATTGGTAATTTCTTGTCACTTGTAGCCTTTAAGGAATTTACTTACTTTGTCACCAATTCCAACATATGAAGTTAAAAAAAAAGAAGATATATATGAAAGTTTCAGGATCTGCATTATTACAGGTAATTCTGATGTACAGAACTACTAATATCCTTTCCAATTGTAGCACTCTCACATTATATTGTAGTTATATGCTTATCGATGTACATTTTTCGCCAAATTGTAAAACCTTTGAGATATGGTCTTATACTAGTTGTAGATTTTCACTATCATGGTGCTTCCTTCATCCATATGGATGTCCAATTAATATTATTTGAATGATTGAATGAGCCAATAAAGATGCTCAGAAAGTAAGGAAAAACATTCAACTGAAGCACTAAAGGTCTACCTAAGAGGTGTTCTGAATTTATTTTAAAGGCAAGATCAAAGTATATATGTCAATCTAAAGGATAACAAACATACTTAGACTTTAGAACCCCATGACTTGGGTTCAACAGCTGAGTAGAAGGCTTTTGACAAGCCAAATACCCATTTTTTATCACCTGCCACACACTGATAATCTACAATTACCCTCAACAAAGAAAGAACTTCCAGAATTTCTGATATTTTAACTCCATCCATCATAAATATATATATTTGATTAATCTTAACTACTTAAAAGAAGGCCCTGGCAGGGAGAACTTTTGAAAACTACTTCCATAATTTCCTATTATTGTTCAACACAAACTCTCTGCCTAGCCACCATCTCTTGGATGCCCCCCAACATGCCATACTTGTTCCTGATTCCCAGCCCTTGCTCCTATTCTCTCCAGAGTGCTCTTTGTCTTTGCTTTCTGCCATTCTAAGTCTGTGTCCAATCCCAGCTCTTCCAGAAAGATTCAGTCTTTTTGGCTCACATCTCTCTTCTTCTGAGCTCTGTCTATATGATATAACTACATAATAAGATAATCTGGTATTACTTTTGTTATTATTTAACAGTTTTGTGTATTTATATGATTTGTCTGCCTAGTGTTACTAGAAGTACCTGAAGGACAGGCATTCTAGGTCTGGGAGTTGAATTTTCATTTTATCTTCCACAGCAGTTAGCACATAAAATGGTTCCCATAACAGATATTTAACTCTTGTTTAACTGAATTTAATAAAATTACCCATTGGACAAATGCCTTTGAGAATTTATTAGACTAAGGCACAGATCCAGTTGTTGCTATTTGAGAATGCAAGATGTGTTAGCAGTTATTCTCATTTTTCAAAAAAAGAGATATTTAATGTGGACTCTCCTAATTTAAAAATTATGACAGTTTTTACTCCCTTTAATCTCTTTTCCAAATCTCAATCTTTCCCTCAAATGCAACCATTCTAATGTGCACCTTTTTGATTATGTACTATGTGTACTCTGTTTTGTGTGTATGTCACATTACACAAATGTTACTGCATTACATATCTCATTTTACTTCCTTTTTTAATATACAGAACTTTTTAAAAGATCTATCCATTTGCTTTCTGTGTACATCTTGTTTATTGCTTCTAACTACTGCATATTAATCAAGATGTACCTTCACCATACTTTTTTTCTCCACACTCTCAATGATGGAGACCTCCAACTCCTTGCCCACAAATAACACTGCACTTTTTAAAAAATACTGTGCAGGTCAAGCAATACAATGTCTAATCTAGACAAACCTCTTGCTCAATACCTGGAATTTCTTATCTTCTAGTTCCCAAAGTATAGTAAAAGGAAAAAAAAATCAATGAAAATATTCACAGAATTTACCCAAACATAAGAGTTGTCTTTACATGTGACCAAGATAACATTTTGTAAGAGAAAATTCTCTTAACTAATAAGTCAGTAACTAAAGCAAGCCTGTTCATCCCAGGAAATAGTGAAGAGCAGGTACCCGATGCCATTTTGTTGCATTCTCACTCTCTAACGTGCTAGGTTATTTTAAATCAGCAAAGAAAAAGCCGGGGTCGACACAATGGTGCTCCACCTGTGTGAGTCACAGACATGCCTTTTCCAATCTCAAGTTGAACCAAATAGAAACTTTCTGTTTAGGAAGTATTTGAGGGCCAGCCCGTGGCTCACTCGGGAGAGTGCGGTGCTGATAACACCAAGGCCGTGGGTTCGGATCCCATATAGGGATGGCCGGTTTGCTCACTGGGTGAGCGTGGTGCTGACAACACCAAGTCAAAGGTTAAGATCCCCTTACGGGTCATCTTTTTTTTAAAAAAAAAAAAAAAAAAAAAAAGGAAGTAGTTGATATGAGAAGCAAAGTCAGGAAAGCATATAAGGAAATGCTAAGCTATATCCTTGAATGAAAACATGCCTGTTTGAAAATGCATTTAAAATCAAACATTAAATTGCTTCAGTTCAGAAGCCTTGCTCACAGCACTTTACATGAATCTCCATGGCCGTTTTGGTTTTGTTTCCTTGAGCTGGGTATCTGTCATCTCTACCAGATGGTCGCAGAGGCATGCCTGGACCAAGGAACAAGTAAAGGAGGGAAGCTGTGGAAAAGCCATTTTCTGAGCACCTAGGAAAACATAGCCAGAGCTTCCCAAGTGAAACGTAATAATCACACTGATTAAGTATCTCCATTGAGATCCAAAAAAAGTCCCAAGTAACAGACGATAAACTGAATCAAACATACTTGCATTCTCCACCAAAACCTTGGGCATGCGCTGACGGTTCATTAGAAGTGGGAAAGGATCTCGCCCATCATTCCGTTCATGAACCTCTCGGATTTCCACTGTATCATCCATAAGATAGTAATGAATGATATAGTTTCGACATTCACCAAACATGCTGTCCGTATCATCCCAGATTGCGTAGAACCGAAGAACCTTTGAGGAATACAAAGTACTGAATTCTAAAAGTGAGAGTTTAACTTAGCTACTTTGGCATTTATATATCAGGCTGAAAAGACTGTGAAGTAATCTCAGATGGTAAACTGAAAAAAAAATTCATCAAATATACTAAAATATCTGAAATTATGTATAAGATGTCAACAGCTGGAAAGAATTAAACAATAGGCTTTTTAAGTTTGTGCCAAGAAAGAAGAGCTCACTTTGATCCCACATATTAGTAAGTGAAGAAGCTGAATTAAAAGAGCAATAAGGTCCTTCATACAGTTAATATATAAATATGTATATTAATAAAGGTACATGTGAATGGCTTATATATAATTATTATGAAAATAATTTTCATTTATTAACCAGTATTTTTTTGGTCCCATCAATACACATCTAGTAACAGTATCAACACAATCTTTAAATACAAAATAATAATAGAGGTATGATTGATATAAATAAAATCCTTAAAAGGCCACACTAGTGCTAGGTAAATTCTGAACTAAAAGTGGTAAAATTTCTGAAAGGAAAAGAACAGAAAAGAAGCATTGAGTGTGATCTATCCCTTTTCTTTTTCCCTTTATTTCAGAAAGGAGAAGACTCAAATCTGCTTATACATATCAGTTCACAAGGGGCAGGATTAGGAAGCCTGGAACAGAGTTGGAAAATGCTTAGAACATTCTGTACTCCAACATTAACATAACATTTAACAGGGAAGCATCTGTAATGGGGTTTCTGTGAAATTAACTATTTTGATATTATAAACCTACAACAGCTTTGATATTTCTCAATAATTCATTTAAGGTTTCCCAAAGGATTCTATGAAACTAACTCATGTTTGGGGGAAGAAACAGTTATCTGGAAATGTAGAGTGGGAAGCAGAGGCAGCTCAGGAATTGCTGTAAGATTTAAGTGTTTGGTGGGATTCACAAGACTTAACTAAACAATCTTCTCTGGACTTCTAATACGAAACCTAGGCATTACCATACGTCTAATCATAGATGAAACCAGAACGATAACACTGTATCCAAATGGTTAAATTATAAATGTAATGTTTCAAAATAGTTACCAATACAGCTACCAAAACAACTTGCCAAAAAACACATGCCAAATTTGAAAATGAATAAACCTACTGAGGTATCTAGGTCACTTACTTGTTTGTCAAAGGTGAGAAACTGTTTGAGTTGATCAAAGTCCGACGGGGTGACATACTTACGAAGAGGCTGTTTCCGGAGTTCAGTGTAAGGATCGAGAACCATCTTCTCTGGTGGATTTAATTCAATTCCTTGACTTTCCAAAAATACCTAAATAATTCAAAATTAATAATGATTTTCTTTCTTAGAGCTTCTTGGATTAAGTAATAAACTGATGGTGTAAAAACAAGTATAATAACAATTTCTATGCCATTGCTCAAGTTAACCATTAGTGTGCAGATTGAGCATGTCTTAGAAGTACTTAGTCTCCAATTGACCCAACTCTATAATACAGATATAATTGATAATTACCGTAAGTATTCTATATTACAAAATTGCTAGGTAATATGCTAAGCTAGTTGGAAGACATGATGTTAAGGTAACTGGATTCAAATATAAATTTAGATCAATCAAATTTAGTTATATATCCAAGAACATGGTAAGTCTTTTTTTTTTTTTTTTTTTAAAAGATGACCGGTAAGGGGATCTTAACCCTTGACTTAGTGTTGTCAGCACCACGCTCAGCCAGTGAGCGAACCGGCCATCCCTATGTGGGATCCGAACCCGGGGCCTTGGTGTTATCAGCACCGCACTCTACCGAGTGAGCCACGGGCCGGCCCAATAAGTCTTAAGATTGCTTACATAAATATACCTGGAACCTAACCAGTGTTTCAAACAACATGTAATTCATATTAAGTACAGAGGCAAGCTGCACAATAGCCAAGTTAAGCTGAAATCATATTCTCAACTTTCCAACTCACTTAAAACAAGTATATGATTAAGTCCCTTCCCCTTACCAAAAAGAAATGAAAGTAGTTATTTTAGACCAGAAAATGTTTTAGTAAAATAGCAAAGACAAACCAAGTGCTCAAATCTCACCAGAAAAAGTTAAGGAAGGCATCTGAATTTGACATAATCTTTAATTTTATTTTGCCAATTATGAATAAACATAGTGCTATTTTCAGTCACTATATCTTTTAATACAACTTGTATTTCATCTTCATAAAAGCACCACAATAAACTGTACCTTTTTTGATAATCAGAACAGAACAATTTCATGATATCTGTTTACATTCTGAACTGGAAATTAACCTAAAATTGGGTTTCTTTAGGGAATTGTGTAGCTTGCTTTTGGACAATTCAACAGAAAATACACAGAACTCAGGGCCAAAATATGTGTATTCTAGTATTAGCTCCACTGCTAACTAACTTGTGATCTTAGTGTTTAAAGTTTTCTTAGGCAGTCTCAATATCTTCTCAATACAAAAATATTATGATCTCTTATTAAAACTACTGAGCTGGACATAATGACTAACAATAAAATTTTCCCTTAAGATAGTGGATTAGAATAGCAGGATTATTGATTGAGGTATTTAATGGGTGTTTTACTCCCTTCTCTTGCTCCCAACAGACCAGGCCCTTTTTAACCTTATCTTAGGGATTCAGACAGGAATGTAGAAGCTTCCTGAAGCTGACTGTTTTTCCTGTCCTTTAGAAAAACCTAAACTCTTTGGAGATATCATTCAAACATGTCCCAGAAAAAGAGGAGAAAAAAAGAGAATGCCTTTGAGGGCAAGAAGAGAGAAAGGGGAAATTCCCCCAGACTGGAAAAGACACAGCTGGTGGGTCTCAGAAGAGCAAGATCCTACACGTGCTCTGTTGCAGTGCTCTGAGCATACGTGCAGCCACAGTCAGGACCATCCAGCATCAGGTATCCTGAATCCCAGGATCTTACTTAGCAACAAAGCATCAGGGAGGTGCCCTTGGTTATTAGACCATCTATGGAACCTGCCTGCATGATACCTTTAGGTATGAGAGTGAGGCTGCTTTCTTGTTATTCTTAGGGCTTGGACTATTTGGCCAAAGCTGAGAGTAAATAGAAACATCAGCTGTTATGAACTGAATGTGTGTCAAATTCATATCTCGAAGCCCTAACTCCCAATTTGACTATTTGGAGATGATAGAGCCTTTAGGAAAGCAATTAAGTTTAAATGAGGTCGTAAGGGTAGGGCCCTGATCAAATAGGTAGAATTAATGTCTTTAGAAGAAGAGACAACAGAGACCTTGCTCTCCTTCTCTCTCCATGTGCATGCACTGGGAAAAAAGCCATGTGAGCACACAGAGAAAGGTCGGCTGTCTGCAAAACAGCAGGAGGACCTTCACTAGAACACAACCATTGTTGGTACCCTAATCGCAGACTTCCAGCTCAGAACTGTGAGAAAATAAATTTCTGCTGTTTAAGCCAGCAAGTCTATGTTTTTTTGTTATGGCAGTCCCAACTAGCTAAGATACCAGCCCAGCTGGATTAACGCTCAAGTTGGTTTTATGTTATTTTTTAAAAACAAAGTAATACTTGTATTTCCTGCACACCAGCCTGTGAAGCAGGATTCGCATCTGCTATACTAGCAATCATATTAGTGTATTAACAAAAAAATTACATTCTAGAGCTATGATTTCTGGAGATTGATTTTTTAATATGTTCAGTCAATTATGTCTATAGGACCAAATATTTATCTGGAACAATGAGGAGGGAGTGAGGAAGGGTGGTGGTGGTGATATATTTAAATAGAGGTGCTTTTTGGTTCAAATCACACCATAAAGACAGCTATCTTCCTTATCCACTCATAGGTCCAGCCTTAATGAAGAACATCGAATTAAATGTGTATAAATTTTAAATCATCATAGGAGCCAACTTCCATCTTAACAGATCAACTGTTGAAAACAATTCAATCTAGTCATCAGTGCCTGAAATACACAGCTCTAGTCAAATGCCAGTTATTATTAAAATGCATTGATCCTCGTTATTCATGTGTTATATATTTGTGTTTGCCTACTTGCTAAAATTAATTTTTAACCCTAAAACAAATACTTGTCACATTATGTAATCGTTCACAGACACTATATCTTTGCTGCTAGAAATATTTTTTAAAACTAAGACAAATTTAGGTTTGATTTCCTAATACTTACACTTTGTAGTAAAGAAAGGTTTTCATATCCTCTATGTATATAACTTTTTAAAAAAGTTGTCTCTATTAAAAAAATCCAAATTTATGAAACAGAGAATATGGAGATCTTTTCTCAATACAGTCATGTATCACTGGGTACATTCTGAGAAATGTATCATTGTGCAAACATCATTGAGTATTTACACAAACCTAGACGGTATAGACCACTACATAGCTCCAGCTCAGTTATAATCTTATGGGACCACCATCATATATGCAATTCATCACTGACCAACATTTGATTAAAAAGTTTTTTCTTTTAAAAATTGTTTTATTTAAGGAATCCTTTAGATAGCAAGTTTTCCTGGGATATAGCAAGTACCATTTACAAAAAAAATATGAATTGCACAAAAAAATGTTAGGATTATATCTGTTGAAAGAGGTACATATTATTTTTATAAATTCAAACTTAAGATTAAAATGTTCAGTGACTCTTCTGTCCCTCCACACTTCCATCCCTCAGGGGTCCTACCTCCCTACTCTCTATTTGAACTGCCATGTGAACTGATTTCTTACCAAATGATTCAGCTATAATGGGAGTTTGATTTTGAGTGAAAATGTATCAATATCATTCTGAAAAAATGGCGTTACTATATAGTGTTGTCATGTATCAGCACATATACACACATAAATACCTGATTAACCTGAATAATAATTCACACAAGAAGGATTACCTGTGTCTTCCTCCCCTTACTCTAATAAATGACATGTATCCTTCCATAAATTAGAATAATGCCTCAAACCCCACAACTTCCAAAAATATATACAATACCTGAGTGAATTGGTCACAGTCAACGATGCGGAAAGTTCTGCCATAAATTGTGATATTTATTCCTCGATTTAGGTCCTTCCAATGGTAATGGTCTCCCTGGTCATTCTTGGCTAGCCGCTGGCGTTTGATGAACTTGCCTTGAGGAATCCCAGAGTTTTCCACAACAGGCTCTATGACAGACATGCTGTCATCTTCTAGGTAGTAGTAAATATTCACTCGACGGATTCGATAATGTTCTTCAGTTGATATAGGAACATCCTCTTGAAAGTAGGCATCAAATTTCAGCACCTATAACATACAATGGAAAGAGAAATGGTATAGAATTAGTCTATTATTGTCACCTAAAAAATATCAAGTACCCTCCTGAAAAGAGAACTACACAGGGAGCTTTGAACACTCATTTCTCCTATCCTCTAAATCAAGAGTTGGCAAACTACAATCAGTGGAACAAATTTACCCTACCACCTATTTTTCACATGACCTGCAAGCTAAGAATGTTTGTTGCATATTGAGATAGTTGAAAAAAATCAAAAGAAGAATAATATTTCACAACACATAGAAATTATACAAGGGTACTTCAAAAAGTTCATGGAAAGATTTGTATTATCTTTTAATTCTATTTTTCGACAAACTTTTTGAAGCAACCCCATATAAAATTCAAATTCTAGTACCCACAAATAATTATGTACATAATTAACACTTATTTGTTATTGGTTGCTACTGTAGATTGGATGCCCCCCAACTTCACTGGAGCTTAAATCCCCACTGTAACTGTTGAGGGTGTGAAATCCTATTATGGTAATTGAAAGGTGGGGCCTTGAAGAGGTGATTAGATTGTAGGACCATGCCACAGTGAATGGATAAATAATGGCAGTCGGGGCATGGTTCTGAGGGTTTGAAAGAAGAGCACACAAGTGGTTAGATTCTCTCTGCTCCACTATTTTCTGCCATGTGAGACCCCTGACATCTGTCACTGTTGCCACCACCAAGACCCTCACCAGATGGGTTCCCTGGACTTTGGACTTCCCACCCTCAGAAACTGTAAGCAATAAATTTCCTTTTCTTTATAAATCACCCAGTTCCACGTATTTCTGCTATAAGCAACAGAAACCGACTAATACAGCTGCTCTCCCATTGCAAGGACGGAGTTCAACAGTTATGATAAAGATATATGGAATGCTACTATAACCTGAATTGTGTTTCCTCAAAATTCATATGTTCAAGTTGTGACCCCCAATATGAATGTATTTGGAGACAGGATTTTTTGGAGGTAATTAAGGTCAGATGAGATTTTAAGGGTAGGACCCCAATCTAATAGGACTGATGGCCCAAGAAGAGAAAGAGAGAGAGATCCCCCTCCCCAACCCTCTACATGCATGCTCTGAGGAAAGACCATGTGAGGATATAACAACAAGGCAGCTGTCTGCTAGCCAGGAAGAGGGCCCTCACCAGAAACCAAATTGGTTGCAATCTTGGTCTTGGACTACAGAATTGAGAAAATAAATTTCTATTGTTTAAGCCACCCAGTCTGTGGTATTTTGTTATGGCATCTCAAGCAAACTAAAACCACTGTGACAACCAAAATATTTACTGTCTGGCCCTTTACAGAAAAAATTTGCTGACATCTGATCTAAATACTCACAGTGTGTGTAGACTATGAATATTTATTGTGCTTGTTCCTTGGTGAGATGGCTTAAAGACCTTAACTCTACTAGCTTCACCTCCATGTCAAAAGTCCCTTTTAGAAATTCTGAAAAGAGTAAAAAATTTTGAACACTAGGACTTTCGGTTTCAAAATGAAAGCGAAGGCTCAAGCCTACTTTTTTAGAAGTGGAGTCCCTTGCAAATGCATATTAATGACACATTTACTCTTATAGACTTTGTATGAATGACTTTCACGTCATCAATCGACCATAAAATCTCTGGAGGGCATGTAAATACTGTCACTGTGCTCAGAAACATATGTATTACACAGAACAAATCGTTGGTCCCCTGGGGAGCACCAGTGTCAATGCGAAGTCAAGATGGCACACCTATCGCACATTAAAAAAAAATAAAAAACAGTATTATAAAAATCATATGGTGACATGCTTTGGGATTAATTTTGAAATTTCTGTTATTTTGTTTCTATTTTTAATATTTCTTTTCAGGGAAAGAATGTATTAAAATGATGCTCTAGGTAGACAGATATTTTTCCCAGACCTCTACTGCCACCAATAAGTGCTTTCTTAATTTCTTTTTCTGCTAGTTCATTGTTGGTGTATATAAATGCTACTGATTTTTGTATATTTTTGTAAATTTAACCAAGGATGTGAATCATCTCTACAATGAAAACTGCAAAACACTAACGAAAGAAATTAAAGACAATACAAAAATAAAAATGGAAAGACATTCCATGTTCATGGATTGGAAGAATTAATGTTGTGAAAATGTCCATATTACCTAAAGCAATCTGCAGATTCAATGCAATCCCTATCAAAATACCAAGACACTCTTGACAGAAATAGAAAAAAAACAATCTTAACATTCAAATGGAACAAAGTACCTCAAATAGCCAAAGCAACCCTGAGCAAAAAGAACAAAGCTTGAGGCATTACACTACCTGACATCCAAAATATACTACAAAGCCCAGTCCTCCTTCCTAAAGTGTTTTCCCCTGTTTTTTGTTTTTAAGAGTTTTATAGTTTTAGGACATATATTTAAGTCTTTAATACAACTTCCAAAACACAGGCAACAAAAGGAAAAATAAACAAATGGGACTATATCAAAATAAAAAGGTTTTATACAGCAAAAGAAATAATTAACAGAGTGAAAAGATAACCTCCAGAGTGGGAGAAAATATTTACAAACTATGCATCCAACAAAGGATTAATATCTAGAACATAAAAGAAACTCAAACAACTTAACAGTAAAAAAAAAAAAAAAAAAAAAAAAAAAAGAACATTAAAAAATGAGCAAAAAAAAAAAAAAAAAAGGCATTTCTCAAAGGAAGATATACGAATGGCCAACAGACACATGAAAAAATGCTCAACATCACTCAGCATCTGAGAAATACAAATCAAAAAACATCTCATCCCAGTTAGACTGGCTATTATCAAAAAGAATAATAAATGCTGGTGAGTATATGCAGAGAAAGGGAAACCCTTATACACTGTTGGTGGGACTGTAAATTGGTACAACCATTATGGAAAATGGTATGGAGGTTCTTCAAACTACCGATAGTAGTTTGCCATATCATCCAGACAATCTCACCACTAGGTATATACTCATAGGAATGGAAATCATCATGTCAAAGGGATATCTGTACTCCCATATTTATTGCAGCTCTATTTACAATACCCAAGAGGTGGAACCAACCTAAATGTCTATCATCAGATGACTGGATAAGGAAAATGTAGAATATTTACATAATGGAATACTACTCTGCAGTAAAAAAAAGGATGAAACATTGCCATTTGCAGCAACATGGATGAACTTAGAGAAAGCTATGTTAAGTGAAATAAGCCGGGCACAGGAAGTGAAATAATCATGTCTTCACTTATAAGTGGGAGCTAAAAAAATAAAAAATAAGTGAATAAAGAAAGAAAGATATAACAATCACAATAATACATTAAACTTTCAAAAGAAGAGAACAGAACTGAGGTTACAAGAGGTGGGAAAGAGGGAGAGAAAGGGGTGGTAAGAGAGGAAATGGTAAAGGGCCATGAAAATCAATTACATGTATGATGTTGAATATACTGATTATCCTGATTTGAACATCACGTTTTGAACACAGTTACTGATATTCAATGCTGTACCCCACAGATATGCACAATCAACTATGTTCCAATAAAAAAATGCAAAAATAAATAATAAAATGTACTTTAATTGTGGTTAAAAATATATATTATATATTATAAATCAATCTATCTATCTACTATCTCTCTATCTATCTCTATCTGTCTATCTATCTATCTATCTATCTATCTATCTATCTATCTATCTATGTATCTATCTATCTATCATCTATCTATCAAAGCTATAGTAACCAAAACAGCATGGTTCTGGCATAAAAACAGTTGAGAAACCAGAAATTAATCCATGTATTTACAGCCAACTGATCTTCAACAAAGGCGCCAAGAACATACATTGAGGACAGGACAACCTCTTCAATAAATGGTGCTGGGGAAACTGAATATCCATGTGTAGAAAAATGAAACCAGACCCCTATGTCTCATCATAAACCAAAATCAACTCAAAATGGATGAAAGACTTAAATCTAAGACCCGAAACTATAAAACTCCCTGAAGAAAACACAGGAGAAACACTTCCAAATGTAGGACTGGGTAAAGACTTTATAAATAAGAACTCAAAAACACAGGCAACAAAAGAAAAAATAAACAATTGGGACTATATCAAACTAAAAAGCTTCTGCACAGCAAAGGAAACAATGAACAAAATGAAAAGACAACCTGAAGAATAGGAAATATATCTGCAAACTATGCATCGGACAAAGGATTGATACCTAGAATACACAAGGAACTCAGATAACTCAGTAGTAAAAAAACCAAATAATTCGATTAAAAAATGGGCAAAGGAGCTGAATAAACATTTCCCAAAAGATATACAAATGGCCAAAAAATACATGAAAAATGCCCAACATCACTAATCATCAGAGAAATGCAAATCAAATCCACACTGAGATATCATCTCATCTCAGTTAGATCAGCTATTATCAAAAAAACCCAGAAAATAACAAATGCTAGCAATAATGCAGAGAAAGGGGAATCCTTATGAACTGTTGGTGGGACTGTAAATTAGTGCAGCCATTATGGAAAACAGTATGGAGTTTTCTCAAACAACTACAGATAGAACTACCATATGACCCAGCAGTCCAACTACTGGGTATATACCCAAAGGAAAGGAAATCATCATGTCATAGGGATACCAGTACTCCCATGTTTACTGCAACTCTATTCAGAATAGCCAACAGTTGGAACCAACCTAAATGTCCATCAACAGATGACTGGATAGGAAAATGTAGTATATGTACACGATGGAATACTACTCAGCCATAAAAAGAATGAAATTCTGCCATGTGCAGCAGCATGTATAAACTTGGAGAAAATTATGTTAACTAAAATAGCCCACCACAGAGAGAGAAATACCAGTCTTCACCCATAAGTGGGAACTAAAAATAAACAAGTAAGTATATATAAACAAACAAAAATAGTAATAAGTTGATCTTTCAGAAAGAGAGAACAGGGGCCGGCCCCGGTGGCGCACTGGATAAGTGCGCCGCTTGGGAA